AAATACATCACAAGATTTTTCAGATCAATTACGTCTTCTCACTGTTCTGTCAACATTTTGCAAAAGTAACTTTAGTCTAGCTGTTTTAAAATTTGTCATAATTGATGATAAATTGAACTTTTAAGATTGAGAAATGTTTGTTCTATTGCTAACTTAGATTGTTAAAAAAGTACAATACATGCTGTATTGTAAGTTATCATTAACTTGACACATTACACATATCGCTAATATACATGTACAAAGGAGAATTAATGGACTTTTATTGCCTAATTTATAACCATATAAAGCTATTAACAAAATTAAGTGGGCCACATCTCATTGAAAACAAGATTTCATCTCGTTTATAGTGATATATACCTTTAATAAATAGACTAACTAAACTAAAACTTCAAGTTATTCTTGATTACAAATCCCTAGAAAAACAAACTCAGAAGTGAAAGTTGAATAGCTGAAATGCGCAATACGAATAATTTGTGCGTCTTTTTTTTCAAGTTGATATTCAAAGATTATATCTAATAATGTATCAATATGAAGAAGAGAATTTCCACTACTTTAAAGTGATCTAGTTTAATAACGACGCAATTTTTCAACTATTAACATTCCTCGTACCCTTCGTATATAAAAAACAGGATATTGCAAAGTAATGAATAGCAGGTTATTTGAATAATATCAAGCGGGTGATGATCGATTATGTTCAAACAAGCATTTGATTGAACAGTGATTATATAAAAATAAGCATAAAATATATTCTATAGGTACAATCTGATGAATTTAATACAAACTTTCGAAATAGTCGTTTTTTCATCTTTTGATAAACTATTGACTGACTAACCTCAAAATTTATAAATTCAAAATCTACTGATTTTCTGGAAAATAAGCATTCAAAGTTCAAAACGCACAATTGTTTGGTCTGTTAGATCCCCAGAACTTGCTTGATAAATGTCTTTATTTTGGATTTTATTCATGTGCTGATCGGTTGACCTTGAGGTCACATCTTCCACCAGGAAAATCCTTGGCTGTGATTGATTACTGTGTTATTTTAGAGTGCTATTTTGTGACTGCCCCAAGGACGTCTCTATGGTGTATAAATAAACGCGATTTGTGTGCTTGGATTCATTGTTTGCTGGTTGGGTGTTTGTAGAATACATTTCCTATATCAAGACTTCTTGCTAATACATTTGGGTCAAGGGATCATAGTAGCCTACCTGGACGCTGGTTCGTTGTCTTGTTCTCGTTATTCGACAAAGGTGAACCCGTAATAGTTAAAAATGCATAATAAAATTAAAAATTTTTCTCGACAGTAAACAAGCTTACTAAGAATTTTCTGCCTTATATAATCATAAATAAGTTGCATAATTTTAATGTGTATGGTCTACCGAAATATTCACAAATATATGAAACTTAATCACTGATCTCATTGGAAAATTATAGTGAAAAGCTTTTTGTTCGACAGTTATATTAGCGGGTCACGACAGGACTCCAGTGTGGACGAAGGATCGATTGTGCAATGAAATAAATCTTCCTGTCCATTTCCGTATATTATAGTTAGGCAAACCCCGTTCATGCGACGACGGTAGTAAGAAGCCAAACGCGGTAATGAGGTTTATTTCATGCATACATGTATGAAGATAGACATGAGAATGGAAAGCGTGCAAGTAAAATGAAGCTAATGGGAGAAGGCGAGTTAGCCAACTCTCCGTGTGCTGAAAAATGATTAAGTATACATAGTTAGGCAGTCATAGACGAGACGCGTAATAAGCGAGTAAGCATGTACACACAAAATCAAACGTAAAATAATCGAAACCGTTATCGAATTATTACAATTACAAAAATCTGGTCGATACTATTATCGAATAATTTAAACGACAAATCATTAAAGTAGGATGAATGAATGATGAGATGCTACAATACTGACAACTGATAGCATCCAGATATCAGTCAATCTAGCACAGATTAGTTTGTAGTTCCGAATACGCATCGATAAAAGCTAATAAATAAAATAATATTTTGTGAAACAACAGAAGCAATAGCGATATGGATTGAAAAAATGAAACTCTGAGTTTAAATACCATAGGTAAATGATTCTCTTACCTTGAATAACCTCAAGTTCAAAAACTCTACGTTTGACTTAGTCATAAAGTGTACCAATTTCAGTGAAGAACAAAATTTTCATTTCAGTTTAAATTAGTCTTATTCAACAATGGTTTTAATTACACGTCAATTCTGACTATGAACAAGTTCTGTGGCATTCAGACTATTCTACTGTCTCGGAATTATTTCACAGTTTTATGAATCACCTAACACAGGCTACTTTTCACACATTTGAAGCTACTGGAAAATTTCGCTGTTGATTAATTTGTAAATTATTTCAAGTATACATTAAGTTATAGTTATTTCAAAGATATGCAAATTTATTTTCCTAATAATTTTCATTATAGACTAGTGGAGATTGTTTAATTTCATTGCAATCATTTATACATGATTTTTAAACCACCATTATGAATCTCGAAGCCCTGGATGGCCTTTTCATCCTAACATGAGATTCATGGACAATACGCAGATGCAAGCAGGAATAGAACCCAATACCTAAGGTCTTGAACGCAAATGCTTTGCCTTCTGACTACTAAGCTGACATTCAGCGGTATTAATATCAACCAATCCAAAATATTCCACAACCTCATCCATTGTTTTCGTTGGGTAACTGTCTTAAATTTTACACAGTTGAGCTGTACTGGTCTGGGCTTCTCACTCGAACTCAGAGGATTCGCTCATGCAGCTATTCACTAATGAGCCAAATGATGATGGACTAACACTGATGGATACATGAATCGAATGAGAATCATCGGTCTCCATTATCCTGTAACGACAATATCATCCACTTGTTTCCCATCGATTTAAGCACACAGTTTCCGAGTTTGACTTTTGCATTTTGCTAAAGCCACCGAACTTTAGCATTCAAATAAAGTTTATGCAATCGCTTTTGCTGCCCTGGCAATCGCTATAACGGTGATTTCTGATTGAACATTGGTTAAACTCATTCTTTCAAAATATTCAAACAAATTTCTATAATGTTGTTTACTTTTCGTAAATTCATATATATTCTAAATAACCACTTTTGGATTCATACGTGATTTTGATCTTCAGTCAAAATATTCTGTTCATTCTATTATATATATATATATATATATATATATATATATATATATATATATTTGTAGAGCTATGATGAAAAATTAATTGAGAAATAGTTTCTATGATCTTTTTGTCCTTTTTACTAAACGAAAAGAATGTGAATTTTCATTATTAGTATATTTTCCAACGTATTAGTATAGCTACTCAAAAAATACATATTGATTTAGGGAAGCATTCTGAATTTTTTTACTATTGAAAAAACATATTTATAGCCAAGTTCCTGCTTCATATAGTAGAACTGTCTTGACATTTGTATTGAAAATCCTGATTTTGGTGTTTGTCGACAGTTGTTTTGAGTTCCAGATGTTCTTTAATTGTAGAAATGCAGCCCTTGCATTACCGATCCGCGCCTTCTCATATAGATCGGATACACCTTGATTGTAGAGGATGCTGACCAGATATGTATTGGTTTTAAAGTCCTCCAAGGCATCTTCATCAAGAGTGATTTGGTTAGCGCATGTTGCGTTGTATCAAAGAATGTTGTCTTAGTGGTCTAGAGCTTAATTTTGCACATAAGAGACCTAAGGTCCTAGCGTGGAGGCGGACATTCGATACCTTCGTAAATTCCGTAAACTTTTCCTCTTGACGGCCGTTGTCAGAAAGTGCAACTCGTTGTCACAATTTCTTTATTATTTAAAATATATGATTATTCATACAGTTATCGAATTTATGACAAATATAAAATATTTTTCAATTAGTTATGGAGATTAGTGTTTGCTGCACGAATATTTCGATTATTTTATATATTTGTTAGATATGAAGCTTATTTTTACACAATGCGCCATTAACATGAATTAAATTTTCTCGATTCATCAACTACCATCATTTTCAATAAACTCGTTAACATATTTGCTACATAAGTTGTTGTAAAATATTCTCATAATCATCAAGCTATATAATATATGATATAACAACTGACATTCATAAGTGCATAATCCGCAATGACAGTCCAATCGTCTAATTTTCGTGATAATAACATTAGAATTCAAATTCTCATTAAGTAGTATATGTATATATTTTGTAGAACTTTTTATTTGAGTGTCATGAAATAATAACTTGAATATATTACAATCAATTGAAATCATTCAATAGACATGAAAACATAATATAAATGATCATAACATCATCATGACAAGACGAAATCACTTTTAAAACAAAAAAGAAAACAAATATGTTATCAATGTACAAACATGGAGGAAAAAAATTCAAAATTACCGCTTATTCATTTCGCCTATAATATTGAACAATGATTAAAATGAAGAAGTCATTGGGAAATTGAACTTTTTTAAATTTTCTTATACACAAAACACCATAAATTACAACGCAAATCGAAATAACACCTAGAATTTGAATGATAATTATTATCATTCAATAAAAAAAATATAAGAATTACATTGACAACATAAACTTTAAAGATGTACATCAAGAATTCAATTTTTATTGAGTAAAAATTAAAACAAAAGTAGGAAATTAGTTTTTGCGCATAAACTGATGCTTGAACAAAGAATCCATAAGTATTTCGTCAAACATTTGTAAATTTTCTGAATAAATATAATTATTCACAATTATATGAGTTGTACTATACAAAAGCAAGAATATTGGTGCCTCGAGACAAAACGATCCGAATGAAAGAAACATTTATTTATTAGCATAAAAAATAAAAGTTGGCCAAACAATAGTATGGATTATTAATGATTATATATTATTCAGTATATTTAATGAAATATTAAGCGAATTTCGTGAAATGAATGAGTAACTTAGAATACGAAAGACAAAAGTTTGTCTACCGTGACTAATACAATGTTTGTATTTGCTAGCTGTCAACCTCTTATATACAATCAAGATAGAACTTTCAATAATAAGAATCAATGAATCAATAGAAAAAAATACTATTTATACATTTACAAGACAAATAAATGCAAATATGAATAGTGCCTTTCAAGCTAAAAGATGTGAACAGTTCGGTAATTTACAACTTATCAAGTCGAAATTTTGTGCATCATTGTAAACATTGCCAGCAGTGTCATCGGAATGAATAAGAATATTAGAAATTTCTGCCTTGTTCTTTTCACTATCATTGTTAGTAGAATGATGTTGAAAAGAGTTTTTTATGTTATCATTGTCTAGATGTAAAATATTTATTTGATTGTCCCATAATGGCAAATTGGAAGTTATAATTTGTTCAGGTAAAGCCAATAATTCTATATCGATATTGGTATTGACTGGTTTTATTGTTGATTGGATCCCACAACGATCCATAGTATTATTCAGCTGAGAAAAAACCAATTCACGATTATCCATGACTGGTATGTTCAAATTGGTGACAAATTTAGGATGAGATGTGGATGAAATTCCATGAAGCGGTTTAGATTGATTTATTGCAAAACTATGCTGATTATTAGTGAAATTACGTATTTGCCTAAATGATCTCTCGGTTGTAGTAGTTTTAGAATTTGTAACTGACAATCGGCTGTTTTGTGACTGTGACAATTTTTGACACTTTTTTCTGACTAGAAGTAATGCTGCACTTATAGACAAACCGATGATTACACCGATAAGACCAGAAAATAAAACTTTCCAGATATTTTGAAACGGAAATAGGAATCCGGTAAAACCGTTTGTTTGTGTTGATATATCAAGTGGGACTGTAGATAAATTTAATACTTGAGCCTGTTTGGAATCTGGAAAAAGAAGATAATCAGCAAAGTATTAAAATTAGATGAATCTCAAATTTATTTTTAGCCATGGATGGTCAACTGTGCGAGAATATTTAAATTCATATGGGAAGTACCTTGAAAATATATATTATGCTTCTATCATGAGAATGTGAAAAATGTTCTCAGAGTCTTGCTAAAACACCTTGATTCACCTTGATTAGAGGGGAACAACAAAAACCTCATCACTTCAATTGAATAGAAACCAATGATTTTGTAGGTACACCTCTGTAAAGGACAACAAATTGGCATAGTTTGGGAAAGGAAAACGAGCGAATTCCAATTTCTTTACGCCTGTTACCCCCAATGGAGCATAGGCCGCACACCAGATTTCTCCAACTAACTCTGTCCTGGACTTCCTGGGCTCCAGTCCTGTCCAATGTTTGTTCATTCCTCTCATATTCTCTATTTCTCGGCGTAATGTGTTCCTTGGCCTTCCTCTTTTCCTTTTGCCTTGAGGGTTCCATGTAAGGGCTTGTTTTGTGACTCAGTCGGGTGCTTTGTAGTGTGTGTCCTATCCACTTCCACCACTTCTTCCTGATTTCCTCCTCCACTGGAATCTAGTTTGTTCTCTCCCACATTACGTTGTTGCTGATGGTGTCTGGCCAACGAATCTGAAGTATTGTGCATAGACAACTGTTAATAAACACTTGTATCTTCTAGATGATGCCATTCGTAGTTCTCCAAGTTTCCGCTCCATACAGTAGAACTGTCTTGACATTTGTATTGAAAATCCTGATTTTGGTTTTGGTTGAAAGTTGTTTGGAGTTGCAAATATTTTTCAACTGTAGAAATGCAGCCCTTGCTTTGCCAATCCGCGCCCTCACATCTGCATCGGATCCACATTGGTTGTTGATGATACTGCCCAGATATGTAAAGGTGTTAACGTCCAAATTCCAATTTGGTAATTTGGAAATACTTGAGGGTTCTAGGTTCGATCTTCATTTCGATAACAGATACCCACATCTGAATAGTCTAACTCTAATAAACTGAGAAGTTTACAAGATAAAAAGGTGTAATTATATCAAATGCCTACTCCTTGATTCTTTTGGCATCTGATAGCAGTGCCAAAATAGTAGGTGTTAATAGGTAGTAAATTACCTTGAATAAATTTATTCACCGGATTTTTTTGTACAGAAATAAAAGTAATCATGTTTAAATAAGCCATTCATTTGGAGCAATAAAATGTTGGTCTTTTATTGCAGTAAATATTAACTCATATTTTCGATATAAAACATATGGGTGTGTTTTAAATATGTAGACATATTATTATTATTATGCATTTTCAATATGTTTACAAACTTATACTAGGAACACACATACTCTAAACGAAGTCACAAAGATAAAACTATAACAATTGAACTAAAATACTGACTATCAATCAGTTATTTAACGCTATCATTTATATTATAAAACGAAAATGTTTACAGCCGAAACAGTAACAACCTTACAAAAAGCTGCTTGGCATCTTTTACAAAGATCTCAGTCAAAAATGCAATACAATATCTGTGTTCCCTGTTTAAAATTTTGTGAAACATTGTGCACCGACTTCTGATAATAATCATTCCGAATCGTTTTATTACAATCATGCTGCTCACATTGATTTTGTCATCACAAAAACTAGCTTGAAATTTCTCCAAACATAATTATTAACATTATGACCAAAATTTCAATATTCACAGTGTATTTGGTCATGACATATATATGCTAGTTGGTCATGAATTAAACCTTTTAAAGAATAGGCAATTAGGTAACATCTAACTTTGTGTATGGACTCTATATTAACGATAGTCAAAATGTAATTTGTTCTGTTTAAAGTATTGTGTGTTGGGTTTTTCAAAATATGCTTCCTTCTCATTTCCTGGAGGTCAGATAAATACCTTAGAAAACCAAAACCATTATACTGTTATGCACTATACCAAGTATGTAATCATATTTTCGGATGTTATAAAAAAACAACTAGATTGTTTCAACGTGATAGGTTAGTTCCACTGCCATAGGATATTTTCCGCGTTTAGTAAAGAAGAATATTCATGTTATTTGAGACTCGATGAAGATGGTAATCACACCAGTAAATGAAACAGCGACTGGTTAAGTTTCAAGAAACTGGTATTCTAAATTTGTCAGAAACTGTAATTAATGGTTGGAATTTACCCAGATGAAAACGAATATCATTCCGTACAAGCAATATCATTAGCTTCAAATCTACTTATATGGTTATATTCACTAACTTATTCGAAACGAACAAGTTGATGCATTGGTATAGTTAATCCGGATGAATATTCTGAGTTACACTCTAAGCGACAAATTTAAATCGACAACAAATAATTAAACATTTTACTCGACTCACTTTCAGAATTCTCACGAATTTCAGATTTTATGTCATCTGATTCCTGACAATCCTGGTGAAAACCAGTCAGAATGTTGCTTAACCTTGATAAATAATGAAATATAAAATAAATTAACAGGACTTTAACACAGTAATTTCAGACATAATATGGATAAGTACCTTAAGGTCCCATCAAATGATTTGCAAATGATTTTCTGTCGTCGTCTAAGGTAGCTTACATCTACCAACCTGACTCAGTCCACTAGTCAGTGACTTCATGGATTCCTGCCATGTTTTGGTCTGGCCGCTCCTAGCTTTCTTCCAACCTACTCCTACACCACAAAACATATCTCATCGCGGCAGTCGGTGGTTAGAAATACGTAACACATGTCCCAACCAACTCAACTGATGAAGTTTCACTACTTTATCTACTGATTTTCCATCCCTACTTAGAACTTGTTTCCTAACGACAGCATTGCTTACTCGTTTGTCCCAGTATACACGAGCAATGCTTCGGATACACCTATGATCGAAGACTAGTAACCTACGAATGTACTCTACTCATAAGGGCGATGTTTTGCATCCGTATAGTTGGACGGAGCGAACTGTTGGACGGTACACTCGTTCTTTGGTTAGCAAGCGGATATCTCATCTGCGCCACAGGTGACGCAGGTCAGCAAAAGCCAGTCGAGCCTTCTTTATACAAGCTGAGATTTCGTTGGTCACCAGGCTATCCTTTCTTACAATATCTTGCAATAATTCTTTTTGTTTCTATACAGAATAGGCAAGAAGGAAAATGCAGTAGCCGCAGTTGTGATTGGTTTGACCTTAGCAATAATAAGCTTCAATATTGGTTATGACAAGTTACATGATTAGGGTGGGAAATTAAGCGATTGAAACAACTGTACCAGAATTATTTTACATAGTTATCTCATCCACATAAGCTAACATTTTAATTGAAAAGGAATACAAATTAGGTGTTCCGCTTTAGCATTCTTCATATCAAGGCCTATTATTTATATTTAAAAACAAGATGTTCTGTTTCTTGCTCTTAAGCATGGTCTTAAAAAATTCCTCATTTTTCATTGCTAATAATAAGTTTTTATTATTGCATTAAAGTTATGTTTATCGATCGTCGATAAAATATCTCCATCTTTACAGATTCTATTAGCCATTACGTAATTTCATCATGAAGTGCAATGTTTCCGAACACATTTTTGTACCGCAGTACGTTTCCTTTTAATGACTGCTGTACATGCTAAATTACTATAATATTGTAGTGTTTTAGAGAACGAAACGGGAATTATTTTGCTAAAAAGAGATTTCTTTTTTTGTCAATTAAGTGTCGATTTCCGTAGTTATTAAAAAACTTAGTATTACTGTAAAACTTGTGGCCTCAGATTGATCAGTGATGCTAGTGACTGGCTACCAACTTAAAATCTTCATTTATTTCATAAATGGGCTCAGATTTTTTGCCAGTAACTAACTAAATAGTAGTTGCATTGGAATTTAGCAACTATATACATGTTTGTTCACTCTGTTTAGTGTCAACACTCTTATTCGTGAACAAGTGATACTAGTTAGATGATAATATTGAGTTGCGTGAATCAATTTCTAATTCTATTGGTTGAAAGCTGGCCACTTGATCTAATTAGTATTGGTTATTCTAGCCCGGTGATAAATATAACAACATTGCAATTCATCCATAAAAGTAACACATCCGCATTGACAATCTGCATTGTTCCTGTCGTAAAATTTCCGCGATTTTATTTGGATTTCAGGAGAATTTAGAATGCATTTTTTTCACTCACTACGTTCTTAGCTCTTCTCACCTATATAACTTTTATTAATATAGTTAGTCATGTCATATATGATCAGCAGTGCGATATACAATGTTAACTTTACTAGTATGACTTACCCTTTTGAATTAGTGTCACATTTCTGTAGTATTTTATTCCAATAACAGTCTGGATCTCTGAGTGCTAAACATTCACTAAAATTAAAAGTTTAATTTGATAAATTTTAATGTGAACTATGTCAACAAATACATTTTCTCATGATTAAAACTAAAAGTAACCGAAATTTCTCGAAACGAATAACCAAGTATGTTTCCATAAAAGTAAAAACCTTACGGATTAACTCTTTTAAATAAAGAGATAAATTTGAATTTTTGAATTTTCCATAATTGACAAAGAAATGGCTCTATGTCTAAAAGAAACCAAATTTACCGTACCTGCACAGGAGTCATTTCATGATTCTATCTTAATATTAAAATAGAAATTATTCTGTGTGAAATATACTTTATGGTTCCATGTTTTCATCGGTCGATGTGAATAAAACCAACATTTGAGGATGACTAGATAATTTTATGTAGCTATTTACGAAATGATCCTCAGTAGTTTATCTAGAGCAGTTTGAAATAGAGAGAGTTAAGTCTTCCCGTCTACTTGACATGAGATCACAAAATGAAACTACCGCACAATAATATACCTGAACTATAAACTTTCTCCATCATCTCAAATTTCGATATTTTAATAGCTAATTAACAGTCACCGAATACTGCAAAAACCTTTGATGACTACTCAGTTTATAAATTGTCACATTGCACATAACAATTAGAACATTTTTATGTGTGAATAAATATTCCTTGACAAAATTAAACAGAAAATATTCCAAATTATTCTAAGAAAATTCATAAAAGTGATGTTATCTAAGTTAAAGCAGTTAGAAAAATATTGTAGTAACCTTTTTTTTGGAATTCTTTCTAATTTCTTTGTTTTGCTTTGGCGCTATATTAAATCTGTGCTATTAATAATCAACAATATTTCTGACAATTTTTCATCCATGACCAAATCTTTGCATTTGAAAATCTTTTTAGAATAATATTCACAGGACAAAAAAATACTAATTTTCAAGATGTTTATCTGTTTTTTTTTCATTAGTTTTTTAACTCGCATTTATCATTTCCTGTTGTGTAACAACTTCGATTGCTCTTCTAAATATAACAAGAAATTGTTGAACATTGTATCAATTTATAGAGTAATCATGTACCATTTTCAATATTTCGGCTTAATATGGATTGTCAAATTGGTAGTCTCACTTAACTATTATCTAACTAATCAATCTAAAGTATATGTGCAGTTTCACTTGAAAAAAAAACAAGTTTAATAGAAACTGAAAGTATTCACGAATTGAGACAATCGGTTCAAGTGAGTTTTTTGAACGTTTAAAAATTATCAAGTATCGGTAATGAGACTTTCAATGTTTTCATAGTTTTATTTTTTTCAAAATAACCTTGTGTTAAAATATGACGTTCATGTATTAAATCCGACTGACAAGCTGGTGGATTGCTCAGTCACATATAACCCCGAAATACAAACGAATTTTGGGTAAGTACAAGTTATGAAAAGTATTTTAGCACGTGTTTATTTGAAAAATAAAGTGATCGAAGAAGAATATCTAGTTGAATAAAATGTTGATATAATAAATTCAAAACAGTGGTTCCCTTTGATAAATTTGAATAGAGAAATAAGAAGACATATTTTGTGAGATAGTATCATTTCGTGCTTTCTCGTCAGTCACATACAACCAACATGTTATTTGTGTAAATACAGTTCTGAAGATAAGGTCAAAATTTCTTATTTAGCATGACATTCACTCACTTAGAACCATGGTAAACAAAGGTCAACATACAGTTGTTTTTGAACACATAAAGTTGGACTTTTCCGACCAATCAAGATAGCTCCGAGTAGTTTCAGTGTGTGTGGGTTTTGATTAGATGTCACAACTCTAAAGGCTAATTTTGGGTCAATTTGATGACCACTCATCATTAGATGTTTTGCAATGGACGAGGCTGGGTTTCTTGATCGATTTTGAGATGATGGACTAGGTTGATGAAACATGGATTTGATTAGCCATTTTGGAATATTTTCCCCTATCCTGTCTTCCAATCGGCGATCTGTCCTACCTAAGTAACTTTCTCCGCAGTTACATGTGAATTGGTAAATACAGTGGGATTTGGACTGAATCGGTCTTGGAGACTTGATTGGGGTAACTGAGATCGATTGGGTTGTTGTGATAAGCCTCAGATTAGCTGCATTGAAGGTCTTTTTTATTGCATCTGCAGTCTGTTTGGTTGTAATTTTCATGCAATGATCACCTTTGAAAGGTAACTGTAGGTACACTGGTTTCTTGGGCACATCAGTCGCTATCAGCTTCGTCATAGTTGTGTTCTGATGACCAATAAACGTTTCGGGATATCCGTTTGATTTAAGTGTGTCAGTAATAAGCTTGAATTCGTCGTTCAATGTATCAGCAGTGCTGATTCTACTTGCTCGAGCGAATAAAGTTTTGACAACAGAACGTTTATATTGTATGGGGCAGAAACTAGTGAAGTGGAGGTACCGTCCCGACCAGGTGGGTTTGAGGTGTACTTTTCGTCTGATTGAGTGAATGTCATGCTAAATAAGAAATTTTGACCTTATCTTCAAAACTGTATTTACACAAATAACATGTTGGTTGTATGTGACTGACGAGAAAGCACGAAATGGTACTATCTCACAAAATATGTCTTCTTATTTCTCTATTCAGATACAATAAATATTCTTGTATTATTCCATTGGGATAATAAAATAAACGTAGCATTTCTTTAATTACTCTAGTCATCCCTTCCAGACAAAGCAATAAGTACTTATAATTATTACTGTTCGTTCGAAATCAATTCGAAATTCAATATTTAAAAACCCCACTTTTGTTTGATAGTAACGTTTTATCAAATGGACTATTGAACCAAATTATTCACGCAATAAATACGCACTGAAACTAATTTTTTTAAAGATCTTTAGATACAACACGGCTATTTAGTTCTATGTTGCAACAGGGAAATTAATGAAAACTTGATAATTGAATGACTTACATTCATATCTTGCTATCTCTTCAAGTGAAGAAAATTTAATTGAACTTGATTTGAATATTTTCATATAGTGGACAAATAGTAGAAAATGATTTATTTTAACTCAAATAGTTTTTGCCTGTTATTTGTATATTGAAGATAAATGTCTGAACAAAATATCTCAGGTACAGTTGAGAACAAAATTAACAAATTTTGTATACCACAAACAGACATGGTAGTTAATAGTAAAAACTGAGACTCATTCTCAAAATTTATGTTTTGAGTGAAGTGAAAATTTAAATAACTCTGAAAAAATTCTGAATGCCATTTTTTTCTGTGTTTTCTGAATAGAAAAAATACAGAAATACTATAAACAAAACTTTCTGATTCGAATTTCAATAATACACCCCGAAACCATGTGATTTTCAGTTACTGAAAATATGCTCAAGTGTTATCGTATGAAGTAAGTATGAAGCTATCTTTGACGTACGAAGAGACTAAACTTAAATATTTTTTAAACTATGAATCGATCAATGTTAGACCACCATTAGAAGCCTGGAAGTACTGGATGGCCGTTTCTTTCTGGTTTGGGACTCCTCAGCAGTGCGCATCCACGACGGTTAGGGCGTTCCCGCACAATACCGAAGGTCCTGGGTTCGGATCCTGCGGTGTGCAGGAGTCGTGTATGCGCACTGCTGAGGAGTCCCATACCAGGACGAAACGGCCGTCTTCCAGTGCTTCCAGGTTTCTAATGGTGGTCTAACATTGATCGATTCATGATTTCTAAAATGTGTAACTTAACAATCTTCACAACCCCGTAATGTAAACATATAAATAACAATCATATTGATAATTTTCTTCGAAATGAAGTTTAACTACATCTAAGAAGTTGTAGGAAAATTCGAAATCAGTCAACAGTTCTACGTTCAGTCGCATTTGTTAAGTAGGCTTTATGACATGAGAAATTACTTGAAATATGGTTATTTAAAACAAGTGTTTTATTTCAACGCCTCATTGAATTTTATGTTTATCGACTGATTAGCGTATGGAACACAAAATGAATTTTTTTAAGTTTTATTTAAGAGAATAGAAATCTGTACAGTAATTTCAATTTAATTTAACAAGAGGTCTTGAAATTTTGAAGACTTTTTTCATCATTTGTAGTTCAATTAGTTAGTTTTAATCGTAACCTAAATCATAACAAAGATTTCTATTTATTCAAGTTACAGCACCTTAAATAGCGACGGAAAATAATTTGTTAAGTTGATAATATGAATAAAGTTATCATCAAATTTGGCAAAAATCTACATTTAAAATGGATTCACTGTAACTCTAACCAAAATAGGAAGAGTTATTGATCATGCGATTTGGAATCTAGAGGAAGACCCGAGCTATCTGAATTTTCAACATAAGTTAGACATACATATTGTTACGCTCGTCTCTCGTTGTGCTTAAACTATTACGAGTTCACCTTAGTCGATAAATGAGAACAAAACAATGAATCAGCGTCCAGGTAGGCTAGTGTGATCCCTTGACCAAACTGAATCAATAAGAAGTCTTGATATAGTGTAGAAATTGTATTCTACAAACACCCAGCCAGCACAAACTGAATCGCGTTTGTTTATAATCCATAAAGACAAAATAGCACATTAAATTAACACAGTAACCAATCACAGCCAAGGATTTTCCTGGCGGGAAATGTGATCTCAAGGTCAAATGATCGGTCCATGAAATAAATCCGAAATAAAGATATTTATCAAGCCAATTCTAGGGATCTAACATACCCAACACATATCAAAAGTTAGACAAGTAATTCCCATCACCAGACATCATATATATATATATATATATATATATATATATATATATATATTCGATAAAGAATAACTAATGTACGATTTTGTCAATCAAAACTTACCTACACTTTTTCATTTTATCACATTGAGTTAACTCAACTTGTATAATTGTATCATGTGTAAAAATAAGCAAAGAAAATATATCCATTGTAGAATAATTGAATACTTCATTACTTGATCGAATTTGTGTAGTTCCACTTAAATATGATTTATGAAGTAACAAAAGATTGGTAATTTTATCATATTTTTCTAAATTGATTAATTGTTTAATTAAATGAATATTCCCAGAAGTAGCCATTGATAAAATTGATTTAGGCTTTGTGAAATCAGATGGTATTTGATTTGGTGAAGTTGAATTTTGTGTAAGAGAATTTGGCGGAAATTGGATAAACTGAGATAAACTATCGTCAACTTCATTGAATAATAACATTTTGAAAACACCACCGTTATCTAAAATTTGTTTTGCACAAAAAAAATTAACGAAGTGAACAAATTTATTTGTTACAACTATCCTATTAAATATGCATTTTACTGATACATATTTAAGTGACAGTAAGTTAAATAACTATGTTAAAAATTAATGATTTTTCATGAAATCAGTTACAAATTATTAAGCGACTGATTCAACAATGAAGGCAAATTACGTAATAATGATGTATTAAGGTTTCATTTGTTAAGTTGAAACAGCTTGTTATGCAATCGACAATCTACATAAAAGTACATATAATCTCACAAGTTGCTTTTGAGCATGCTGGCGAAAAGGATAACAACAGTGAAAAACTAGTAAACTGTGAAAGCAAGAAAATGTCAGTTCTTTGTAAATCAATTCTGCTTGTCAAAAGAACTTTCAAGCATACGAACAACCTGAATCTACGATCAAATTAAGGGAGTAGTTAAATTACATTCCCTGAGCATGGTTCCTTTTTACTTTTTGAGTTCGGATTGCATTGAAAGTATTCAATCAACTTTACGTCTTGTCGGTAAACAGACACATTTTTATTGTCAAAGACTGTGGTTAACCCGAGTATGAATGATACTGTTCAGATATTCTACGACAAACATGTTAAGTCATAGGCTTGGCGTAACTAGCTATAGTTGCCAGGATCATTTATAAACATATTGAAGCAGAACAAATAAGTAAAATTGTGTGACATAATCCGTTGTTTTCGGTGGGTAAATGCTTGATACTCGACAGGTTTGGGCTCTACAGGTCTCAGATTCGCACTAGCACTTCAAGAATTCCTTCACAAAGTTAGCAATTAGTGAGTTCGTGGTAATTGTCACTATATGATTCTTCAGTATCATTAGAATCATGAATCCATCAATCTTAGACCACCATCATGTGCTCAATAGTAACTAGTTGCATGAAGGAATTCTCGGTGTTATAATGAAAAGCCATGACCTGTACAGCTCAACCGTGTCAAATATGAAACACTTACACGCCGAAAAGAGAATCGATGAGGTCGTGGACTATCATGGATTGAATGAAGCTATACATTAGCATTGTTGGTTACCGGCTTAATGGTCAAGTGGTAAAGCATTTGTGTGCAAAACCTAAGGTGAGGAGTTCGACTTCCTGCTGCACGGCTGTGAGTGCACACTGCTGATGAATCCCACCCGACCGAAGCTGCTACCTTGACGTGGTGGTCGGGCTTGCCTATCGTGATGACCCAACCGAGCTATACTGGCTGGAACATATGTTCCTGCAGGTCCTACCATGCCAGGCTGGTCGATTGGAGAACGATGAGACTAAAAGCAGCTACCCAAGGTCTGAGGGCGAAGTCGTACTGCTGACTGCAGAGGGGTGTGACAGCAGTAAGGTGTTTCCCTCGGACAACCAGCATCTGCCGCGATGCTGCCTTCTCACAAGGAAGGAAGGGTTAGAAAAGGTCGGCCCTAAAAATGTCACACTCCCCCTAACTCACGGATTTCCGTCTCCTTGGGTAAGGATGCCCACTAAGGGCTTTTAAGAACGGAGCTAATTCTCAAAAAACTTCTCATAAAAAGGCCGTGCGTGACCGGCCTCAAGCAGTTGTCCCTTGGGCTCTGCGGTCACGCACCAACACTAATCCATCTTCCTTTTCAGGTTCGTCAAGAAACAACCTTCCACGGTGTGGGCAGCCGGGAAGTGACAACCGCCCTCATACCCATAACAGCACGCGAGACCAAATTGGTCAAAATCAAATCCTTCCTACACCCCCTAATGTCTCTTTTATCTCTACAACTAACTCTACTCACACTCCCTTTTCTCACTGCACCGCTAATGCAGACGAAGCGAGATCACGAAACGTCGTTCCTGGTCTCTTGAAACCCCGTTCTAGACTACATATTGGAGCTTTTAATGTACGGACATTGTGTCAAATAGGGCAACAGGCATCATTAGCTAGGACTTTAGAAACTCGTGCCATCGATGTATGCTGCGTCTCGGAAACGCGCATACAGGATCCTAGTAAAGTCATTAACCTGACTCCACCTTGTCGAAACGAAGAAGCAGCTCGATTTACTCTACGGGTATCCGGTAGCCCTGATGCTGCTTCCAGGGGTCTTGCTGGTGTAGGCATAGCGTTGAGTCCTAGGGCAGAATTATCTCTCCTAGACTGGATCCCAGTAGATAGTCGTTTGTGCGCTGTCCGACTAAACGGGACAGTAAGGACTCGTAAGGATAGGGACACTCGCCGTTGCCTCTTCGTCATATCTGCCTATGCCCCCACTGACTGCAGTGCAGACGAGGTTAAAGATGAGTTTTACAGAAAGCTTTCGGACCTCCTCCAAAAAGCTAAGCGCTCTGACATAGTAATAATGGCTGGTGACTTTAATGCTCAAGTAGGTAGACTAGGTGAAAAGGAAAGACATCTTGGTGGATGTTATGGTGTAGCGACTGAGAGAACAGACAATGGTGACCGTCTGTTGCAACTGTGCTCAGATAACCGCCTATTCTTAGCGAACACCAACTTTAGGCATAAGGAAAAGCATCTGTTGACCTGGCGACCTCCAAAGTCGTCTCAACGTTGGACTCAACTAGATCACATCGCCATCAGCCACCGATGGAGGGGTTCGATAGAAGACTGTCGCTCGTTCTGGAGCACATGTTTGGATTCAGATCATGCTCTAGTGCGAGCTCGTATCTGTTTAAGGCTTACTGGACGTAGGAAAGACACCGTAAGAAAGCCTCTTAGGGTTTTACTTAATGATAATCAAACCAAGAAAATATTTCAGGAGCAACTAGAAAGAGAGTTAAGCAACCATGCAAGCGATTCCCATCCAGAAGCAGGTTGGTATGATATCAAAAAGGCTGTGGAAACAGCAGTGATATCTGCTAGGAAGGTAAACCATGAGGCTAGGATGAAGCCGTGGATTTCAGTCGCATCCACCGAACCGATGGATGCTCGAAAACGCATCCCACCTGACTCTGAGCATGATGAAGAGCGTAGTCAGCTTAGGCGCAGACTTATAAAAAGTCTACGTAACGACCGCGAACAGTGGTGGGTGGCGAAAGCAAAAGCGATGGAAAAGGCAGCGGCGATAGGCAACACTAGACAACTTTTCCGCCTTATCAAAGAAACCGGTATTAAGAACCCGAATGTGAGTGAGACTATCTCGGAAAAGGATGGTCTTATTATCCATTCTCAATCCAGGAGGCTGGATCGATGGGCAGAACACTTTAGGGATCAGTTCAACTGGCCACGAGCCACTCTTCAGTTACCCACGATCTACGGTCATCTTGAATGGCAAATCGACGTAAGTCCCCCTAGTCTTGATGACGTTGAGAAAGCGTTAGGAAATCTGAAACGAGGACGAGCTGCAGGTCCTGATAGACTGACCCCTGAGATATTCAGGGATGGTGGTCCAGTTTTAGCAGCTAGATTGACTGAGATCTTAGGTAAAATCTGGGAACTGGACGTAATCCCATCCGACTGGTCTCAATCCTTGATAGTCCCAATCTATAAGAAAGGACAAAAGTCTTCTTGTGACAATCACAGGGGAATAAGTCTAACTAATATAGTATCTAAAATATTGGCCTCAATAATACTTCGACGCTTAACGAAAGCTCGTGAAGAGCAGACTCGAGAAAACCAGGCTGGTTTTCGACCTGGACGTGGCTGTATAGACCACGTCTTCACACTCAGACAGGTCCTGGAACATAGACACACATTTAGGCGTCCTACAATAGTTGTTTTCCTAGACCTTAAGGCGGCATTTGACTCTGTTGATCGTGAGGTTCTGTGGCAATGTCTGTCATTGAAAGGTGTACCACAGAAGTACATTAACCTTATACAAGCTCTTTACTCGAACACCACTGGTCGGGTGAGGGCTTATGGCGAACTGTCACCGGAATTCTCTACATCAAGTGGTGTCCGTCAGGGATGTCCACTCTCTCCATTCTTGTTTAATTTTATCATAGACATGCTCCTAGACATAACCATATCCTCGTCTGAATTTTCAGGAGTAGACCTTCTTCCAGGTGGCTCGCTTATTGACTTAGAATATGCCGATGACATTGTCCTACTTGGTGAAGACGCTGACAAAATGCAGAGTCTTCTGACTACCCTAAGCAACAATGCAAGCATGTTCGGGATGCGGTTTTCCCCCTCGAAATGCAAAATGTTGCTTCAAGACTGGGTTGCATTGGCACCTGAACTAGTGATAGGGAGTGAAGTGGTTGAACGTGTAGACCGCTTCACTTATCTTGGGAGTCTCATCAGTGCTGATGGCCTGGTGACTGACGAAATCTCAGCTCGGATACAGAAGGCTCGATTGGCTTTTGCCAACCTGCGTCACTTATGGCGTAGGCGAGATATCCGTTTGCTGACTAAAGGACGAGTGTACTGCGCAGTAGTTCGCTCCGTCTTACTTTATGGCTGTGAAACATGGCCAGTGAGAGTAGAAGATATTCGTAGGTTACTGGTTTTCGATCATAGGTGTCTTCGAAGCATTGCTCGTATATCGTGGGACACCCGAGTGAGCAACGCTGTTATTAGGAATCGGGTGCTAGGTAAGAATGGCAGATCAATCGATGAAGTATTGAAACTTCACCAGTTGAGGTGGTTGGGACATGTGTTGCGTATGCCCAACCACCGACTGCCTCGAAGAGTTTTGTTTTGTAGTGTAGGAGTAGTTTGGAAGAAAGTTAGGGGCGGCCAAACCAAAACATGGCAGAAATCCATGAAGTCATTGACGAGTGGACTGAGCCATGTCGGTAATTGTCGACTACCTGGTTGGGGTCCGCGAGATGATAATAATCGATGGTTAGAGACCTTGAATGACATGGCTCAAAATCGTTCGCAATGGCGCCAGTGCATTTATTCTCTGTGTTCTCCCAAATGCTAATCTTCTGGATTCTTCAACACCTCTAGTTTCGACTCTCTAAACTTTTCTCACTGAATCATACTTCTTGAGTAGTATCTTCTAATCCTAACCTCTCTGATTATTTCTAATTCCCTTACTACCTCTTCTACTATTGGATTTGAATTGACGGTTACTTCTCTGTGCTGATGTGGTATGGCGACATGAACTGATGTACTTATGTACAAAGTTCTACGTTGCATCTGACTGACTGACTGACTGACTGATGAATCCCACGTTAGAAAGGAACTGCATCTGGTGCTTCAACGTTTCTAGAGGCATTCTGACTTTGATAGATTTAGGATCCTAATGAATTTCAACAATCTCCACCACCCTATAAGGCTAAATAAACTTACGATCAATAAAATTTCTATTTTATGACAGTTTAAAATTTTATTTCTGTAAATAAATCCCTAGTGCAATTGTTTCCTCAAAAATTTAACAGATATAATGAACTTTATTAAATTCTTTTATTGATTAATGTGCTGTCTTTTGAATTAAATTTGACCGTTTAATTGTAAAAAAGCTAATATAACTTAATTTTATTCAAAAGATGTTCGATTTCTATCACTTAAAATTAAGATACGAGTTGTTTAAAATAAGTGTCATATTGATTAATTTTGTTGTTTAAGAAGTGGAGCAAAGGGTTAAGTCATAATTTTGTTGACTAATGATCAACTTACGAAACACAATAATCAAAATTCGTTAGTATTTTGGACCATAATCCACTGTATTTATTTCTGCGCCACTAACTGATATGAATCCTGGCCGATTGTATTGCTTCTAATATTAGTTCAATGTAATGTTTATATCAACAGTTTGTGCGTATGGATTCTTATTATCTAACAACAAGTGATCATCGTACTTTTCAATTATGATTCTGAGATGGTGGAGAAAATTTGTAACTCAGGTGGATGATTCTGGCGGTGTTTCGTTCTCTGAGCTGGGGATGTTCTGGTTGTGGAGCTTTCATTGTTCTTCTGAACAACATCATCAGTACAAACTTCAGATAACAGTGAAGCATTCGAATTTCTCCACGTTTGACCTGTAGCTTGTTCTGCTAACCTTGATCTTGATTGGTTGTTGTTGACCTTAAACCTGTCGTTGTTTGCACTTTGTTTTGATGGTATCACCCTTTTGATCTGCTTCTTGATCCTCTCATCAGAAAAATCATAGGTAACATAGAATCAAGAAGCAGATCGAAAGGGTGATACCATCAATGCAAAGGTGCAAACAACGACAGGTTTAAGGTCAACAACAACCAATCAAGATCGAGGTTAATAGAACAAGCTACAGGTCAAACGTGGAGAAATTCGAATGCTTCACTGTTATCTGAAGTTTGTACTGATGATGTTGTTCAGAAGAACAATGAAAGCTTCACGACCGAAACATCCAGCTCAGAGAACGAAACACCAACACTTTCCAAGTACCAATTTTTTTCTAAACATCGTATTACCTAATAAAACATATTCGTTATAAATTCTAAACCTCCCATCATAACATAACTCAAAAAATACACTGATTTTAATGTTGATAGAAGTTACTATATTTACAAAATAACTTACTTGTTCCAACATAAAATATTGTATAACTAATATGTCGTATTTGTCCAGGTTGTGTTTTATCTTGATATAATTTTGCAACATGACGAGGATCAATAATAAATTCGGTTATTTGCGAACGTGATTCAATCATCCCAAAAATATCTAATCTTTCTGGATAAACTGAGTTAATTAACAACGATGCTTCTAATGCTAGTCGTTTATTCGGAATCGATGAACTTGGACACTAAAAAAGAAAAAATAATAAATATGCAAAAGAAAAATTTTTTGAATTTAAACAGAAATTTTTGATTGTTTTATTATAATTAAAACTATTTTTCATTTTTTTTTATCGTCTCATCTTCTTGTGGAATAATAAATCCAGCTACTGAGCAGTAAATGTTCAATATTCAGACAGTTAAATGTTGAATATATTGCTTAGAATAATTATTCAACAGTGTTTACACATAAAACAAGTTAAAAATTATTTTGACGAACACCATCCTACCCCATTATAGTTCAATAAATTTTAAGAACTGTCATTATATTTTGACATTTATAGTCTATAAAATATTATAAATAATTAATCAACCTTTGATACTATCGATCAGTTAGTAGTACATTCCCAATAAATTCTCAGCTTGTATTGTATGTACTAAAAATTGTTCATTTACAAAATAATCCATTCAATAAACTATGCTGCGAACATTCATCGGAATTCGAAAGTATCCAGTTCTGCATATGCAAAAGTTTAAATTTCATTTATTCTCATAATCATTTGCGTAGATAATTTTAGCGCGACATTTTATCATAACTAACAGGGTTTATAATTACTGAAATGAAGTTTTCAGTGTTTATGAGTAAAGAATTAATTATAAGATGATTAAATTACATTTGAGATGTTGATTTCCTCTGACTAAATGATTCATTCGAGAAACACTTATTGCCTTGTAAACTCCTGAAATTTACTTATTTAACAACCGTCATAGCAGTTCTATGCTATTAGTGGTTTCCTGAAGCTTAGGTTAGTCGATTATCGATAAACGCATTGAAGTATATCAGTTCGAACCCGCTATCGACCAACACTAAAATCAGCGAAGGCAGCATTTCTACAACTGAATAACATCTGGAACTAAAAACAATATTCAACAGACACACCAAAATCAGAATTTTCAATACAAGTATCAAGACAGTTCTACTGTATGGGGTGGAATCTTGAAGAACTACGAAAGCCATCATCCAGAAGATAAAAGTGTTTATTAACAGTTGTCTACTCAAAATACTTCAGATTCGCTAGCCATACATCATCAGCAACAACCTTCTGTGGGAGAGAACAAACCAGATTTCAGTGGAGAAAGAAATCAGGGAGAAGCGGTGGAAATGGATAGGACACACATTGAAGAAAACACCCAATTGCGTCACAAGACAAGCCCTCACTTGAAAACCTTAAGGTTGAATGAGAAGAGGAAGACAAAAAACATTACACCGAGAAATGGAGACATATATGAAAAGAATGAACAAAAATTGGACAAAACTATAAGGGAAGGCCCAGGTGAGAGTAAGCTAGAGAATACTTGTCGGCAGTTTATGTTCCACTAGAGGTAACAGGAGTAAATAAGTAAGCCTTTTAGTATACAATCTGATAAATTCTTTCTTGAACAGTTAATTACAAGTTTTCAACTACATACTTTCTTCTTCGACAGTACGTTTTATTTTTCAATTCAAGGCTCATTGATTCAGATTCGAATATATGGACACCCTGAATCCTCACAAAAGTAAGTGTGTTGTTTTGTTCTTTATCGAACTGAAATTACTATGTTTAACGTCACAGAAGGTTTCAAGGGCCAAACTATTAATAATAACAAGAGTTATTACATTTAAATTCAAGTCAAATATTTATTCATATGAAATTTCCAAATACCTTCGTAAGGTTTGTTAAATAAGGATATTTATCACGACTTATTCGTTTGAATCCATTAGCGAATCTATGTGTATTGTGTGCAAGCAAGTGACTGTCATCTTTCGGTTTCGTATAGTTCATATGTGTCACATTCATTTGTTCTTTAAAATATGATGGAGAAAATGTTGGCAAACGCATTATCAAATCACTAGATTCGATTACTTTATCTACTGTAGAAAGTTTATAAATACACAAAGCCAAAGGTCCAGTGGATACTAAATTATTTGTTAACTTTGTTGGCAATTCATCATTCAGGTGAGGATCACGAGCAGAGAACAGACCATAGATTAGTAGATCGTCTTTGATTTCTGGCATATAACTTGTGGACAATGCAACAAGATAATTAAAATCACGGTTTGTCGGTGAAATACTATTTAAAACAAGAAAAGTGAGGATAAATAAATATATATAAAATGATTTTATAAATCAATAAGTATATTTGTTGAAGTTTTTTCAATTATATTTGAAATTACCATTACATTTAGTTCTGTTTGGTTGTTTGAATGAAATAAAAGTTGGCAAAATATTATATTTTTAATTCAACCTTCATTGTTATTTTGAAAGTGTTATGCTTCAGACTATTACGAGTTCACCTTAGTCGATAAACGAGAACGAGACGATGAACCAGTGACACTGTAGACTACTCTGATCCGTTCTCTCAACTAACTGAAAAAAAGTCTTGATATGGCGTAGAAAGTGTATTCTTCAAGCACCCAGAGAATATAATGATTTCAAGCACACAAATCGCGTTTATTTATACATGATAGAAACGTCCTTGGGAGAGCCACAAAAAATGACGTACTAAAATAACACGTCAACCGGTCAAGGTCAAGGGTTTTCTTGGTGGCGAATGTAATCTCAAGGTCACCTAATCAGCCCATGAATAAAATCCAAAATTAAAACCTTTACAAAGTGAGTTCTGGGGATCCAACGTCCCCAACAGAAAGATATGTAAAACGAGTTAATCACAATAAACATGAATACAGATCGTCACCGTAAACTTTAACCAAACAACTAACAATGTATTTTGTACATTAATGTAGTCAAAGTCAGGATTGTCTCAAAATAAACATTTGTTATCAGTGAAAATACTAGGACGACATAGCTTTTTTATGTTCACTGGTTTTCATTGGTTGGTTGCTCGACTATAGACAGTTTGCGGTTTAAACAATTTTTAAAACGTCTTATATAACGACAAAAAAGAACAGTTTCAGATAAATTAACAACCACTGTGTTAACTTCCTAAACAGACGAATAAACAATAGTATAGTCTTCCATTCAAATGAGAATTCATTTGAGAAAAAACCAGTACTGTTTAATAATATCTTATTCATTCGTTTTGATAGTTGTGATTTACTGTCATATAAATGAATAAATATATCAATAGTCTTGAGGGAAATCAAAAATTGATAAATAGTGAGACGAATAATAATAATAAAGGCAGTTTGTAATAAATTATAGTTTTTCTTAATACAACGGTATGCAAACAAATTAGTCGTCAGACTAAGTATTTACATATATTAACTTTATCTGATTATCGTTTTATAGAAAAAATGTCGATTTTTTTCCAGTTTTATTGGTTTCATAGACAATTTTCGGCAATCATGTACATCTGTTTCCAGTAAAATAAATATTTAAGTAGAGACTGATGGTGACTAGTAATGGAATTCCGAAAGAATGTTTCGTCCTCTTTGGGACTCGTTACCTGGATATCTCAGGGTGAAGACCAACTTTGGGTTACAAAAGCGCTCAGCCTATGAGTCGTAAAAAGGATGAAACATATGTACTTGATCCCACTGCTAACTACTACCTATCCCTGTTTAAAATACTTGTGATCTATCAGCTATCTACTAAGACAATCCACACAGGATGCACATATCTCAAAAGAGATCGATGGTTTCAGTCACAAACAGCAATAAAAAAAATCCAAACAACCATTACATATGATTTAAGATTATAACTGACTCAAATGATTTTTCATGAAAATTCATCAAATATTATATGTATCATCTACGATTAACCGGCCTCAGTGTCTTTAGATTGTAACCTACTAGGAACTTGCGAATACCTATGATTTATCAGCAATTAGTATCG